GTAGTATGTTGAGTGGGAGACATCAACTCAACCAGATGGAAGTGAGACAAGTTACTCACCAAATACGGCCATGGACTTGATGAATGCTGTGCGCGCAGCTACAGCGGGGTGCAACGAGTCAGATGAAGAGAATGCTGTAGACGAAGACGATCTTCTAGAGTTAGGAACTTGTAAACCCAAGGAGTCAGGTAAAGATGTTCAAATTGGTACAGACCTGACAGAACACCCGAGAAAAGCACTGGTGAGTTTAGTCAATACTTATGATAAGGTGTTTACTGACTTGCCAGGAAAGACCAAGATAATCAGTCATAAGATTGACCTGACAAATGATACCAATTACGGTAATATTACGTTGCGTGTGACAATGGCAATGACCGCAAACATATCGTGTCCAGCCATTTGTTGGCCACATAGAGGTCAAAATACGCATTTTATTTTTACGTGTTAAATTTGGCTCTTCCGTTTCACCCCTTCCGGAATGTTCTACTTTCGCAGCCTAATCGCAGGTTTTTCGAAAAACGTCAAAAAAACACAAAATTAGTAGAAATGTTTCTGTTTTGGGAGGATTATTGATAGAGAATAATGTCTTTATTACAAAAATGCTGAAAAACCGTTTTTGCCTTAGTTATTTTTTTATTGGCGAAAAACTGCGAACTCGACAAATTTGGTTGCACAACTTCCCTTTATCATATACACCCAGCGACACCAATGCCAGCTGACTGTGTACAAAACTGGTAGGAGGTAATACATTTGGGGCGAAAGTATTCAAAAATCAGTTTTTGGATGTTGCAATGGCAGTGGTGGGCCAGGATTTTTTTCCAATTAGTGACAGCACGACCTACCTGTGAAGTATGAACAAAACCAGCCGAGCCGAAAAAATCACAGAGGAGTTAAAAGCCGTTGCTGGTGAAAAGTTACCCAAACTTTGGGGTCAAATTTCTCGGTAATGAAAAATATCAAAAATTCAAATAGTAACTTTGTGCCCACACTCAAGCTAAGTAGAATGAGCTATGTCTGAAGTGTTTTATCCCAAATTTGTAGGAGATACATTTGGCGCGAAGCTATCCAAAAATCAGTTTTTTGGCTGTTGCTATGGCAATGGTGGGCAAAATTTTTTTTCAGATTTTTCCTAATAACTAGGGTGAAGGTGTGACCTACCTGCCAAGTTTGAAAAAAATCGGCCAAGCCAAAAAAATCACAGAAGATTCATACGTGAAAACACTGGAAATGTACACACACAGACAGACACACACAAAACGACAAAAGTGATTGTAAGGGCAATCCTAGCCGAGCGGATCGCCAATACATGCATTTGATATAACTGCTACTATAAGGAGGATTTAGTGGGCAGTACACAAATCAACAAATTTAACAAACTACTGTGTGTTAAAAAAGTTTTTATAGTCAAAATCTTTCTGGGTGCACTTCAGCATACAATAATAGTAGTAACCATGGTTACTAAAAAGTATGTAATGGTGTAGTAACTTAATATCAGTAACTAAATACAATTTGTTGCCAGACCATTCCTGAGGTTGACGTTAACTTTTTAACATGACTTGTTCAAAATGTTGCCTATAGTCTGTTAAGGCAAGCGAGTTCAGTTGTGCGAATGGCTATTTTACTTGTCCCGAGCTGGCTGTATGACTACCAAGTACCAAGTCAAGCTATGCAAGAGCAAGTTTGTATACTTTTATGTGTACAGCGGAGTTTGTCCTGAGCTGTGTATCTGGCTCCAGGTCATCGTTATTTGGTTCTAAGTCATCCAATAATTCGACGGTTGATGTATTAACTGATATTTCCAAGGATCCGAGTCCCCTTATTTTCAGTTGCAACGCCAAGTTTATTGACCTATTGATTGCAGCGCCCAGTCCGTGAATAAACACTACATCATATCCATTGTCAAACAGTTTTTGACTACGCTCAAGTTGAGCGTTAAAGTTTGTTTTCCTGTTAACGTAAATGTCGTTCTTACGTTTCGGCAATCTTCTTGGCAATCTTTTTCGTAGAATATACTCATTTTCATCAATTTGTGGCATCGCACGCTTCTCTTGACTTTCTTCTTTCTCCGCCATGTTGAATATGGGGTCAGGTCAACATCCGGGCACGGTGTATAAACAATTTAAAAAGTATCCCGAGTTACTACAGAACAAATGTTATTACATGTTGCATATAACATGTAGTGGTTGGTAATGTACCTATGATATATAGATGTATTTGGCACGGACAGTATAAATGTAAACAAAACTTTGCGCAAAGCATTTTGGGTAGACTAGATTACAAAATGGCGTCTAATGTACACGTTCTTCGGTCGCGCTTAGGATATTGACCGTTTGCTAAGCTTGGAATGCGTAACAGTGAAATTTACCTCACTGAAACTAATGACGATATGAATCGGCACGTTTTAATCTGGATTGTTTGACCAAGAACATGGAGGAAGACTACGACACACCCCAGGAGCGCCAGGAGAACGAGCTCCAAGTTTTGAAATCTATTTACATGGACGAATGCATTGATGTCAGAGACAACGACACTTGGAAGGTAAGAACACTAAAACATTGGGAGGTACACCGTCTTTTGAATTGTCTACGCCATTCTTTGTGAGGTTTGCATGATAAAATAACGTCTAGACGTGCGTATTTATCATGATCGATCGTTATGTACTTGTCATGTTGAACGTTACGTCGCATGTAAACAACATGATGTAAATACAATCACACATCCACGTGGTGTATTCGTGTTGTAGAGTATTGTCATACATGTATACCGCCTATCAATTCGAAATGCCACGTGAAGACTACGTGGCATTTACGTTGAATGTCAACGGAATAAATATATTCATTTTATATCTATATTCTATTTTATATCAATTCTGAAGTGTTCTTTTTAAGAAGTATTATTTGTATTCAAAATTTCTTAATAAATTGAAAAAAATAATAATAATAATTTCCAGTTGTCTAAAATAGCTAATTATTTATTTTTAAAAAGCATTTTCTTCTTTCTTATTTAAAATAAATAATAATGATTTTTTTCAATAGATCTTGCAAAACAAAAAAATATCAAATTATTTGCAGGATGGTATTTTTCTATTTTCCAAGGGTTTTTTTCAATGACATTTTATAAAACTCTCAAATAATATTTATTCTGAAAAACCTTCACTAAGTTCTCAAGATACAGTGTGGTAGCATCCCAGTGTGTTTTTTTTTACTATATTGCAATGGCAATTACCAATATCTTGACTGCTATATTTTTGATTGTGTGGTTTGAGTAATTTGTAAATTAATATTAATTATGTAAATTTTACCCAAAATCTAAAATGGAAATTTGAAGTTTTTACTCATTGAAAAGGAATGAGTAGTTTGTCATTGACATTACCATGGTTATAAATGCATAACTTGTTTTCTCATGTGTTTAGTATTGCAGCAATGACTAGGTGGGTATCCAAAAATAAATGTATGCACATTTTAAAATCTTTACAGGTTCAGCGGCCATTGGAAGTACTGTTACATTTAAAGCCGCAGCAGAGTATGGGTGGAACAAATGAAATATATGTCAATATTGATCTCAGAGTAAAGTGTTCAGATAACTACCCCAATGAGTGAGTCCATTTTTTTTTTACTTACATGATTCAGGGGTGTTTCTAGAAAAGAACTGCAAGAGGGAGCACTGCAATTCAGCGGTGCCACCAAGTGGGGGAGATAGGGTTCTCCCTACCAGGGTGTGGAGTTTTTGATAATTCTAAGTTAAAAGGAAGCATTCTATGGCTTCCTTGGGACCAAAATTACTATCATACAGGTCACAGTTGAAGACTGTGGCCACATGTGATTCCTGATCATTCAGAATTTTATGGTTGCCAGAGGATCTGCTCCCCAGGGTAATGGGGGTGCATGGCCTTGGCATGAGGGCGCTGCGCCCCTGTTGCCTTGTTTAAAAAAATCCCTGTGATTGATGGTGTATGAGCATACCCAGTAACCTGATAAATATCTAGACTCTAGAGGACAAGCCAGACGGCAAACTAGATTTTGAAAAACTTGGAAAACATTGACATGCGTATCGTGAAGAGTTACATGGCAATAGATGTGGGCACTTCAACCGACTTCATTGACCACCATACAACAGACTGTGATTGTGCAGTACGGTGTTGATTGCCGTGACCAGCTACACTAGAAGGGATATATTTTGTATCTAACTCAACCTTTTATGATAAACTTGATAATATGTGTTCTTTATGGTTTACTCTTCCCTGAGGAACAAGTTCATGAGTGGAAATTTCAAAGACGAGAAAATTGAATAAGAAATGTGTGATATACATTATCAGCAAAGCACGCTGACCAGCAAGTCCTCCCGCATGCGTCACCAGGGGTGTTTGAGTATGCAAATGAAAAGCTAATGAGGAGCCTAGTTTTAAAATACATAAAAATAAATTTTGTGTAGATTGAGTTTGAAACCAATTTTTCACTTTAAAAATTTATTTTGTACTTACCGTACTCGACCGCGTTAGCGCCCAGGGTCCTCAACTCATAAAATCAGGATTTTTCAGGGGTGGGCGCTTACCCGACTTACGTTTGCCTCCTGGTTTGCCTCCTAGTTTGTCCCCGCAGCCTGAGTCCTTCAAACGGCCTGAGTCCTTCTGTAATCGCATGTTCATTGATGAAGGAGACGCTCTCCGACTTGCGTTTGTTCTTATTCTTTTTACGCCTTTTCTTGAGTGGACTTATTATCACTGGTGTCCGTGGTACGTTCGGCTGGTAACTCCCCGACGTCAAATGTTTCTTTTGCTTTGGATTTCTTTCTTTTCCCACGCTTTGCTGGTGAAAAATCTGTCGTGTCAATGTCAAACTTAGCACTCCCCGTGCCACTGCACGATTGACACGTTTTCTTGCCTTCATAAAACACTTCCTATCTCTATAGAACGGCATATTATTAACGTATGTGTCGGAAAGGAGGCACACAGTGAGTCAGGGCTTTATCTCACTTTCTTCGGCCATATTTATACTGAACGACCAGATGTCCACAAGACTGCATCTCCCCACAATTTGAATATTTATTGTTATGTAAATAAATATGTTATTTTTTCAAACACGGATTGGTTACAATTTGCATACACATAAAATTGCATATGCTAGCTCAGACGGTGAAATCACGTGGACTTGAATATTTCCCACCAGCTGTCCCGGTAATTTTACGTTAGTGATTGCCGACATTCCAAGCTCAATCGTTGGAATCCGTCATGCTATTCATTCTAAGTGCCAGGACTATTTGCCAAGCTGGTCAAAATACGTTACTACCGTTATAATCGTGAATCGTGTCGTTCAAATACGGTTGTAATGCTGCAGTTTGCAATGTGGTCAAGGCGTTTTTTTTTTTACGTTGTCGCAAACGTCGCGTTGTGACGGTAAAATAGTGAAATGAGCAGACAAGTGTATAGAATTACATTCTTTATTACTTGGTTAATTTATTTGACTTGACGGAATCGAAAACAAATTCTCTCCCTCCATAATTTC